CTATCACTTTAAACACAAATTCCCAGCAATAAAAATGCTGTTCCAAATCAGCGACATACCATCAAACCAATCAATGGCAGCTTTTGCAGATGGGGGATCATCAAAAGAAACTGTGGCTTCTCCTTTCAGTTTTCCTGTCTCACGGTCTGTATACAGATTAATCATAGGCTGCCCAGTTTTCTTGTTCATCTAAAAAAGACACACGAGATGACATTCTGATCAAATAAAGTTTTCATGTTACTGTAGCTGCTCATAAAACTATTTAGTGATGGTATTTGTGTGCTGCTCATTTCTGGAGACTGCTGCCCATTTCAAATATATGGTTCTGGGCATCTTACAACATTGAAATAATAAAAAAATAAAACACATAACTGCTGATACTGTATAAACAATGAGCAAGCAAGCAAGCAAACAAACAGAAGGGCTCCCATCATGCATTGGGGTCCCAGGCTTGAGCACAGAACCAAATTTTTAGGGCCTTTTTTCTCTTTGTTATGTAAATTTTACCTCTGAAGTATACAAATGTTAACTAGCCTTTAGGTGAAAGATATATTACAAATAAAACTATTTGAAATCATATTGCAGTCTATTTTCTTGCTTCAATTCAAAAATTCAAGGCAATTTTTATCTTTATATGTGATTCACAAACTAGGTGATGGCTCTCTGGAGTCCCACTAGCGTATTACTAAATGGATCCATAACGGTGCAAAGAATTTGTTTACCTTGATGAGACCAATCTGCTTAAAGTATTCTGAAACCGACTCAATGGTTACATTTTCACCAAGTCCTTGGACAAAGATGGTGTTATTGTCAGAATTATCCTGCTCACTAGCTGCAAGAGAAGAGTTAAGACTTTTAAACAAAATGCATTCTAAACAACACTTTAGTATTGAACCATTCTGGGCTGTACAAATTTTCAACTCTCTATTCCATTTTATCAAAGTGAACAGACATTTTCTTTGGTTAAATACAACAAATCTTCAATCCTGCATTATGTTGAAGTTCATTTCTCCTACAACTCAGTTTGCATTTTTAACACAATTGAAATCAGCTAGTTTAATAGTTGGGTTTGTGTTCACAAGAATCCCGAGAGGCCAAAAGGCAGATTTGAAGATGAGCATTGATTGCTTCACTGGTGAGGAACAGCGGTCCTTAAGACAGAACACTTGTGATAAATAATCAAAGCTTTGTTTTGATTATTAAGTGGAATGAGTATCAAACCGTCAAACAACCACTTACCAGAATCATGATGTGAGCCTTGGTCCTGTGGTCCTTTTGTCATAGGAAAAAAGGAAGGAAAGGTTCAGTTAGACAGAGTGGGCTCCCCTTTTCACATCACCATCACATTAGAAACAGACCAGTGTTGAACATATGTAGCCTCTCGACTACAATGTAAGAAAACATACCCGCCCAGTCAGAAGCACTCCATGTCTTAATGATGAGATTTATTACATAACCAGTTTAAACATTCTTTCCGCCAGGTCATATTGAACCTTAATTTTTGCAGCTTTGGAGGGAGGAGCATAGCCTCCAGATACACACTCAAAACAGCATGGGACAACCACCCAGAGGAATCTATTTTTCCACTTTCATAGCATACGTTAGTTACTGCTACCCAGAGTTTTGTATTGACCCTTGATCACATTTTTAAAAAAATCTCCAGCACATGAGGCCTGAGGCAGAATTCTGCAACTTATTCCATTTTTGTTTTCTTGAACACAAGAGCTATGTGTTAAGTAGACACCACCTTANAATATAAACAGCAAAGGAGAGAGGGGGCATCCCTGTCTGACTCCTTTTTTCATTTCAATCTTCTCTGTTAGAGCTCCATTCATCAGAACTTTGGCTGTCTGACTGTTATAAAATCCTTCTATCATTTTTATAAATTTTTCTCCGAATTTCATCTCATCCAACTCATAAAGTTGCCATGGTGAGGAAAGGAGGGAAGCGCATTCCATGCATACTTTCGGCTAGTCGGATCTCAGATCACTACAGCAGGCTTGGGAGGGGTGCACGTCATTGGGGAATGTGATTTATGACAGACTGAGGAGAGGGAAGGAACGGGGTAAAGTTTAGCTACAATTCAAATGAGGCTCAGATCTGACTGCAATACGGTATTGCCAAAATGGTGCTCCTAATAAATGACTGGTTTTCTTTTGAAACTTGATTCGAGACTCATGAATCAATTAGGGCGTCTTTCAGAAACCTGACAGCCTCATGCCGGGTGCACCTGTGGTGAATCCACCTTCCTGTGGATTCAGACCACTATGAAGTAGACAGTATATTGGATGCATGCCTCTACAGAGGAAAGCTCCAATACCTAGTCAGGTGGAAGGGGTATCCTCTCAGCGAAGCTTCCTGGGTGGCGTCTCCTGATGTCAGGGCTCCCAGGCTATTATGTAAATTCCATCGGACATACCTGCATAAACGGACCGGGTACCTGATGCTAACCCTTCTACTTTGTGTCTTTCAGGAGGACCCCTGGTAGAGGGGCCGCCTGTCGAGCCCTAGTCCGAGGCTCGACATTACCTGGGGTGGGGGGGGAGATTGACTGCGGGTGGCCTTGGATCCAGTGCAGAGCGGTTACCTCCATTGCGAAGGTGTCTGCAGTCTGTGGAGGCTTGAAGTGGCTGCAAGGGACTCTCTTGGTGTGGAGTTTGCCGGAGGCATCGATGTGTGATGGCATCATGTCAGCCCCCCCACCCTTCCCGGTACCAGCACCATGCTGAGCATCTGGGCAGGCTGTTTGAACTGACTAAATCAGCTGTGTGAGGGAGCAACACCGGACGGTGGCTACTGGGAACCTATAAGAAGCGCTGGAAGGTGGAGGCTCCCAGTGCTGGCTTTAATTGGTTACCCTACTTGTTGTGTGCTAAGGTCCTGTCTGTAGCACGAATAAAGCTGAGGTTTACTCGCAAATAGAGGTTCCTGAGCGTTTTTGTTATTTGTGCACAGGCTGGCCTAGACAAGTTGAGTGTGCCTGGGACAAACCGAGGTAGGGACTTCCCAGCTGGCTCGCAGCACTGGCGGCAGATTCAAATGAAGTGCCGGTGATTCCAAGTGCTATAAGTTCCAGGGAGGCCACCCCCTCCTGCGAAGCTGCCGGCAGTTCCGCTTTGTGTCCTTAGCTCCCTGGGACCAAGAGGGCTGCGATGTGGTCAGCAGTGAGCTAGCCAACTGAAATAAGCGGCCTGACCTAAGTGAGCTGCTGGGGTGGGGGTGTAAACGCATGCTGCTTTGATCACCTCCCAGCCAGTCTAAGTTAATCGGAGAGTCCAAAGGAGAGTTCAAAATTATATGTCTATTGGGCAAAGATGGGGTCGAAACTGGAGCCAGGCAGAGAGGCAACAGACATGTGGCTAAAGTTGATGACTCAGTCTCTGGGCAGCAAGGACATATTAACCCATTCTTGGACTCTGCCGCAACCACACTGGAGAATGTTCAATTGCAGCACCTATAATTATACCAGTAACTAAAGTCATAATATTTCTTCGGTAATAACAGTTGGACCATGGACACCACTGATTTATGCTGTACCGTAATCCTGTTGAGGTCAATATTCCAGCCAGCTTGACTGTTGCTGAGAATTCTGGGAATTGAAATTGATACATCTGAAAGTTGGGAATTTAGTTGACTAGGCTGAGCTTGAGGGAGGGGTCAAAGTTTTCATCAGTCATGAGTCCCTTTGCACTCACAAGAGTTCTAAGTCCAGACCTTGAATTCCTTTCTATTCTTAACTTCCGCCAATTACCATTCATCCTTAGTAGTTCAGATTCTTGTAGAGTTTAAGCTTACAATAAATCTTTATACCCATTTGAACTGCATGGATCTCCTGATTTCCCTGGTGCTTGACAGGGAAACTATCAATAATGCTTATCCTGTTTTCTCACTGATAATTTGTGGCGAAAAAAGAAAAATCTGGATTCTGTTTCCCTTTTACTTTTTAGAACTTGCTATCTTTTGCTTCCAGACTGTAAAATGCATCCATCCATCTGTAGCGTTTACCTCATTACTTAGCAACATCCATTTTGGGAGATTATTTGTACATCCACATTCCCACCTGTCTTTATTTGCATAGAAAGTGTCTGCACAGGTTACAATCTCAACATCTGCACTTCAACATGTAAAAAAGGCCACTGAAGGCCAGCTTTTGCATTCAATGAAGGCA